TGTAAAGCAAAGGAAAGCTGAACTAGGATGACAAGTACAGTTGCCATTTCACTTAGCGACCACTTTGCTTAACAACCAAGTTGCCAGTCCCCATTGTGGTCACTAAACTAGGACTACTTGTACTGTATCTATGGATTTTGTCAAAAGCTTTTGACAAAATTCTTTACTAGAGTAAATTAGCAGTTGTGGAATAAAAGAAGGTGTCTTTTTATGGTAACTATTTGGTAATTATTTAAATACTAATAGTAAGCAAATACTAATAGTAAGAATTAGTTCCTATAATGGAAGGAAATGAAAAATGGTTTCTCAAGATTCTGGATTGGGATCTGCAATACTTAATTTGTACAGAAATTATCTGGAGTTTAAAGTAAGCAAGGTAGCATCCAGGTCTGTGGATAATACCAAATGATTCAGATGAGAAAAACTAGGACTGTGAAAATTACTCAGAAAAAATGTTTTGGACCTCTCAAAGCAGGCACTCTCTCTGCTCTTCATAAAAGCAACCTAATTTTTTTTTCAGACTTCTGAAATTAACTTTAAAAGGTAGACTCTTTAAAGCAGTACCATTTTCTTTTTTGCAAGTGCATGAGTAAGCTGAAGATTTAGAAAGAAAGAAAAAGATAATTTAGATATAACAGATTATTCCATTAAAATCTAATGCACTGCAGATGTGAAAAACCTTATTTCAGTGCTAGGAATATTAGTATTATTGATACATCCTTCTATAAAATCTATAATGCAACCACATTTAATATACTGAATGTTGTTCTAGTTCTTCCATTTCCTAACAAGTGCTGCACTGTCAAAAAAGATGCAGAAAATGGCAAATAGAATGATCAAGGAACCTGAACAATTCTCTTATGAAGAAAGACTGCGGCATTTTGTGTTTTCTCATTTAGAAAACAGATGTTTATAAAATATGTACAGAATGGAAAAAGTGGACAAAAATAAATTTCCCTCCTCTTTCATAAAACTGGAATGTGTAATTATTGAGTACTAGACAACCTGCGACCCACTGGGTTCACTTTTCAGAGATATTTCCTTATCTAAACAGAGAAATAGAATGACCATGGGTGGGCAAAAAAGCAGTGGGAGCGGGAGTAACTTCTGACTTTTTGCCAGCTTCCTTACTGACTTTCCTTGTGGGAAGCTGGCAGGGACTGTCGGAAACCAACCTTCCTTCCTTCCTTCCTCCCTCCCTC